AACTGCATCCGTGTAACCCGTTTTGCACCGTGTAGAAACATGTTCTCCTCTTACAAATTACACGTTTCGTTTCACGGACGTCAACGAGGCCGTTTCTCGACCGGTGATAATGTCGTCAGCTGGCAACGGCGTTGCACATTTTTCTTTCGAAGAAGAAGAAGAAGAAGAAGCGGGAGGATCAAGAGATCTATTTCCCGATCTCTCTCTTGATTAATCCCAAACAGAATGGATTCGTCGATCAAGTTCAATGTAGTCAAAGGTGATTCTGTGACAAATATCTTCTTTTCTGCAGGGGAAAGAACAGTGATGAATCGTATTTTTTTTTTTTCTGTTACGAAACTTTTTACAAATCTGCAACTCATCGAAAATTTTTTTACATTATTTTTATTCTAAAATATTCACGATTTTATATATACATATATTTATTTATTTATTTATTTTTGTCGATATTAGAATATTTTTGTAGTTTCTTTTACAAATGTCACGTTTGCATACGTTTTTCCGTAAAATTGTTATTTGATTTTAGATTAGAAGATTAGAAAATAAAATATATAAGCAAATTTTCGATTATTCTTGATCGAAACTGCACATGCATCCCAATATATCTCGAAGTACCTTAATTATTTTTCAAAAATAATTTTGATCTACAAATCATCTGAATCACATACATTCTACGATTCATGACTCATTAATCTTCTAATATAGATTTTACATAACGCATATATTTAAAAAAAATCTAACAAAAATATCGACAAAAGTAAACGAAACGCGCATCATTTATAAAATCACGCGTGTCGTGTAATAAACGAAAAAGAACATTCGTTTATCAATATCAATAAACAATCCTATTCGATGCGGATGTTGAGAAGCTGTTTGCGTATTGGATACTCACTTGGGTCCCATCATTACTCGTGGACAATCGTTGGGAGCCGGAACACACACGGCCTTGTCGAGGATAGTTTAACCACCACGCCCTGCTCCGACATTCTCCTCGATTACGCGTGTAATACACCCACACACGAACGAGGGACTTGGCCACAGTCCTCTCGCGTGGGCAGACTATTCCCCGCGGTGAAAACGCGACACGATGCGATATCGACACTTTTCCTTTTTCTCTCCCCCCCCTCTTCTTCTTTTTCTTTTTTTCGTTCTTTTTTTTTTATTTTGCGTTCGAAAATTGTTGTTGTCGTTGCTTGTAAACTTGCTTCAAACGTGCGTTCTTCTCGTACGAAATTGATCGTGAGATAAGGTGATTGCGAGTTTTCTTGTTCGATGGATTCTCAGATTTTTAGATTTTTATTTTATATCCGTTTATATCGTTTCTTTGAACGACAAATTGTCATATCGGATTTTTAGGGGATCTTTTTTCAAGTTGTTTTTTGATGATATTCGTGCGTGCTTCTTCCATTTCTCGAAGAAGAAGAGGAGAAGAAATTAAAAAAAAAAAGAAATTAAAAGTTTTTTAATTTTAATGGATTAAATGAAATCGAGAAAAATTTCGTTTCGTAAAAGTTAAATGTTGATAATCGAGAGTAGTTTGTTGACAATAAATAAATTATATGTAGGTAGATTTCAGGGAAGGTGAACCGTCGTCGTTGCGGTTTTAATCGCGGTCTTGTGTTAGAAAGTGGCTATTATATGCTTCGTATATCTGATTAAGTATAAGAAAAGATATTATTGATGGCGAAGCGCTTGTTAATTAATTTTCATCGTTTATGCTACTCCTTGGATGAAATATTTATGCTTAGTTTTATGTCTCCATATTTTTTTGGTATATATATTTTCGATTAAAATGTTTTTCAATCTTATAAAAATTTCAGAAAGATAATTTACATCTTCTAACCGTCGAATCAAATAAAAGACTAATTTTGATTTGATTGTATCTGATGTTACGTTATATTTATGAATAAAATTGAAATTTCGAGAAATTGAATTAATTTATATATTTAGAAAAATGAAAATGTAACATCAATAATTTTCGCTTTAATCGTTGCCTAGTAACGTATTATTATTATGGAGAATAAAGGATTATGCTCTGCACTTTAAAAGATATATCGTGAACTATTGGCGATTAATACTATCAGATGACAGAATTAAACGTATAGAATTGCTATTTCCTAGTTATCACTCTGAGAATTATTGCACGTCATAGAACGATTAATTAAATCATATAAATAAATTGTAATTAATTTAGGTAAATTTAATTATCGATGTGAAATCGAATTATTGATAATAATTTTTAATTTTACATAAAATTCTCAAAAAAAAATTCATGAAAGCAACGAACATCGAGTTGAAAAAAATAATACATATTTAAACTTAACAATTGCACGAATATGTAAATGTTCCTGATATTTTGTAAAAAGTGATCCGTAACACGAATGTCATCAACGTCATCAATTAAACTACAATTTTCCAAACAGCTGTCACAGAGACATTAACAATTATCAATATCGCACAATTTTCAATAATTATTTGCCTCTATAATTTGTTCCATCTCACTCATTCGAAGATAAAACGTTATAATCGTTTTACGTCATGTTTTTTACATAAAATACCTTCAAATAGTTTTTGTATAAACGAAATGATCATTTTTGAAAATTTAATCGAATGATATGTAATGACATGTAAAATGTCAATCGTGTAAAGAAATGGAAAAAAAGCACGTAGAAAACTTTCTATAAGCAGAAAAAAGAAGAAATGACAATATATCGTGATAAGATACGAGCACATTCATCCACTTTTGGCTTTTGAAAACACATAAAATTAAAAATAATTTTGAAAATATTCATTTTTCAAATTACTTATTAAAACTTTATTTCTTCATTTAACGAGTATCATTTCAATAGTAATTTATTAATATCTATGAATATAATTTTACAAAAAAAAATCACCATCACCGAATCATGTTGATATTCATGGAAGAAAGTAAAAAGAAAATGTATTTGAAGTTCGAAAAGGAAAAAAAAAAAAAAAAAAAGGTATTGGAGGTTCGAAAGGAAAAAAAAAAAAAAAAAAAGGTATTGGAGGTTCGAAAGGAAAAAAAAAAAAAAAAGAAAAAGAGAAAAGAGAAAAAAGCGGAACGAGTTCGTCGTAAGAATTTTATTTCACTGATACCCGGAACGAATCGATGCTCATACTACTTATTTCCAACGTATCCGTGAAACACGTAAAATCTACTTTCTAAAATTAAATTTCAAACACATAATTGTTCTATTTCCATATTAAAGATTATAAAATGCGATATAATTCTTGATTGCTATACGGTTACACTGTTGTAGTATGTACATAACATACTATATGATTACACAGACTTGCCAACTTGTTCAACAAGATTGTATCAATATTAACACAAAGCGTAACAAATAATTAGTGTTAACTTGAAAATAAAATTCGATACTCTGTCACTTCTTTGCACTTCTGTTTCTTTCTATTTCCTGGAATATACACGTATCTTGAGTCAAGAATAAACTCGTTATTATTTCGAAAAATTAACGAATTTGCGCGAGTAATTGCGGGGGAAAGGGGAAAGATGGTTGTAACAGTAGGTCGTTAATCGACCGACAGATGACGTCGTTGGCTTGTAACAAACTGTTCAAGTAGCATTCGAGCAAGAAAGAATCCAAGATGGAGAGCAGAGCGTGCGTTTGCACATGTATAAACCGGGCTATCGACCCGGATGTTTTGTTCTAAAGGATGCTCACTTCGCTGAAGTTTCACACATTTATCGATAATCTTTATCGTTTTTGGATCAAATGGAAAATAATTTTTATCGTGATCAATAGATAGGATGGGTTAGTGAAATGAATATAAATGAAGAATTCTTTTATTTATATATGAACTTGTTGGAAGAAGACAAAGGTAATATAATTAAATTCTGTAATAAAAGTTCATTGATTTCCTGTGTTCTCGTGATATTTCGTCTTTTCAATCGATGCAATGTTTTATAATTCTGTTTGAAAATAGAAATAAAACAAATATTATATGCTTCATGTTTCGAAATTGTTACGAAGACAGTTATACGACATGAACAGAACGATCGAAAAAGTTTCAAGGTCTGAATTGAGAAATCGTGCGGTAATCCATCATATGTGTTCGTTAATCTGACAGATTTACAACTCTCTTCAAGTTTGCGAGAAGTACGGTACAAGAGAGCGTAAGATAATATCAGACACATTACCATGGTACTTTTTAAAGTAAACTTTAAGTGAATTTCGTAAAAGGTAGAGTGAAAAAGTTAATCGAAAATTAAAAAAGATTCGTAAAAGCTATGATTCTATAGCATATAACTTCATTCAATGAAAATTTTCCTCCATTTTCCTATCAATTAAATAATCTTTTATCTAATTTTAATTTTAATTAAGATTAAAATTAAAAAAAAAACTAATATTTATTCTTGATGATTTTTCTAATATATTGCCATTCTAAATATAAAGATTTTATATTTAGAGATTTTATATTTAGAGATTATATTATCGGTTGTTGTTCATTAAAAAAAATTATCAATCATGAAAACAGTTTAAGTTGGATTAATCGTTGTTTACTAATCGATAATATATATAAAAGATTAAAGAACTTGATAAATAAAAGTTTTTTGTAAATATTTATCAAAAATATTGACGCTCTTCCGTAATTCGAAATTCTACTTATTTTAATATCGAGATATTTTCAAAATTTACGTTTTTCGTAACCAATCATATTATAACCTTTGATATTGGATTTGATTTAGATTTATAAGCGATACGTATTGAACTTGATACCATCGATATAAACATTGGACCGAATTGCTCTCTCTCTCTCTC